ACAACAATGGAAAAGGACTCAACCCACATCTTCCTCTAAATCCAGCCCTCCTGCACAGTCCCAATACATACTACCAAATGTCAGAATTAGAAGGGTCTTTAGGTGGCCTGGGCTGGCTTTCGCAGTCTTACTGTGTACTCCATCCGGCACCGTGGGGAAACGGGACAACTGGGTGACGTCAGTGGCAATGGCCAGATCAAGAGGGCCAACCCAGTCTTCAGGGCCAACCGAAGACACCTGAATCGTAACTGAATGCACCCAGGCTTACCTGGGAAAAGTGAGAGAGCAACTAGAGAAGAAAAAGAAAGGCTCTAAGGCTGTGGCTCAATCTGAAGATAAAATGAATAAGAATTAGAAGAAAGAACTAGAAAAACACAGAAATTATGAAGTGGAAATGAGCGCTCTCCAGTAAGAAGAAATCTGGAAGGTATTCGTCTTCTTCACAGAGCTCTGACTCTTCCCAGCAGTATCAGTGATAAATCAGTAGGAAATGCATCTGGATACATCCTAAGATGTAATCAAAAATGGCCACATGACTAGTTAAATTTTTGAAAGTAGGGATTACATTAATATTTTGAAATCTTTACTCTGTAGATAAGTGTATCTTAGTGTTCCCCCCTTTGCATACTTTTTATTTACCTCAGAAAGGAGCTTTCAGGGTGCAGGGAGGAGTGGTCTGCTATCTCTTTAGCTAGCAGAATAGTGTGCCTTTGCGGCCTGTGTCATCTGCTTTGAGTGAACCAGAGAAACAGCCCTTTGCAGTGTGAGAAAGCCCCAAGGTTCTGAGTTTACCTCCATCAGTAATACCTGAATGTTCATAGCTTGAGAATGAGTTATGTCATTTGAATTATTTTTTGACTGTACTTTGGCTTTGGAGAGGAATTGTTTCATGTAGACACTGGTACTTACTGAACTTAATAGCTAAAGATTCTAAAATTCATGTTTCATACTGTTAAGTTTTATCCAGTCAGGAAAATTTTATGTAACCAATATATGATAATTACTTGATTTTTCTGTATGAATGTTGTTCAGGCTGAAATATTTAGCTGTTGTTAACTCTTATTTGTACTGTTGCAAGTTCATTACTATGTTTAATGGCACTCTTGCCAGGGTATTTAGCATGTAAAAAGCAGGCTTTCAGTTTTTGTTTTGAACAGCTTCATACTGAAGCTGACACAAACAAGTTGAGTGGCAGGCCTGTATGCTGCCTCTTGTTAAATAAAGCTATTGCCAGAATATTAGTAAATACAATGTTTTGTTTTGTTTTTAAAAGAAAGGGGCTGGTGAGATAGCTCAGCAGACTAAGCGCCTGCTTTGGCAAGCACAGGGACCAGGGTTCCATCCCTGGTCCCGAATGCCTCACTTGCCCCACCCCTGGGGCACGCTGAACCTGCCATGGAGACTGGGTGTGGTGGCACACGCCTGTAATCCCAGCACTGGGGAGGCTGAAAACAGGAGGATCACGAAGAGTCCATGCTGTGTAGTGAGACCTTGTACCAGATACATAAAATGGAAAAAGACAAAGGTCCTTAAAGATCTTAATCTTTTCTTTTTTGGGGGGGTACTGAGGATTAGCCCACGACCTCTCAAGGAGGTCCTTCTACATTTTGGGACAAGATCTTGCTAAATCATTCAGTTTCCCAGAGTAGGCTTGAACTTGCAGTCCTCTCACCACAGCCTCCCATCTAGGTGTGGCCCACACCCCTGGCTAGTCCTTTCATTTTACAGGTTTTGGAAACGCTAGTGCAAAACTGATCAGACTCCTGGTGGGTCGGTCAGTCGGTGTGTCTGTCTATCTCCTTTTTGGGGTAGATCCCTGGCCTCCCAATCTTTCTCTTCTATCATCCTACCTCAAAAAATTAATGAATAATAAAAAATAAACACAATGTTATACAAATAAACATGTCATAAGGTCCCTGGAAATCAAACATCAGGAAAGTGGTGACTTCAGCACCCCCAAAACAGTAGAACTGCTGAATCAGAATAGTTTCCTAGTAATGATCTTTAAGGTCCCTTAATTCTGAATACTAACACGAAGTAATCACAGGATTGTGCACAAGGTCCTTGATATGCCTATTTAAGCCTTTCAGTAACTTTTCTTCATAGAGAAAAACCCCCCATACTGCTCACTTTGTTAGCAAGACACGCTGTCAGGGCAGCACCTGCCCGCTCAGTGTTTCCTGCTGGGCTCCGCCGGCCTACTAGTCACTCTGTGCAGCCTGTGTGAATTCTGCAGGCGCCTCGCTCAGAGTGCACCCAGCCGGGAGCCAGCCAAGCAGCACGCTGTGCTCACCCATCGTCGGCCTTCACTCAAGCTGCCCGCTGCACCAGCAGTGCAGTGCCACCCAGCAGCAGTGTGCGAGGCACTTGTCTCCAGGAACCTGTTAGGCAGGAAATCAGATCAAACTCCATCATTAGGAAGTACAAGAACCACGTTAACTCAGGAGGACTAAGCACGCTGTCTTGGAGGGAGACCGGCGGGAAGTCTCAAGTGCGTGCTTCGCAACACAGCCCGAGTGACTGAACCGTGTGGATTTTCCTGGCTCTCGGGGGCAGTGCTACAGGACCAGGGGCACACTAGCTCATTTATCTCCACAGAGCAAGAATGACACAATTCACCACGAATGTGATTCTGTGTTTCTAAGAACCTTCGCGCTTGGCCCGTGCAGGCTGAGGAACTCTGGAGGTGGGTGCAGAGGCGGGCCGGGGCTGATCCAGGACTGCTTACTCTACACCAGCGAGCACAGCGGCCAGAGACAGCTCCACCTCGCCGCAGTGACCATAAGGGACCTTGAGGTGATTATGAAGGATGGATTTTTTTTCTTTAAAAGAACTTCTACCAAAAAAGAAAAATTATTTAAGGGGCTGGGGAGATGGCTCAGTAGAATAAGTGCTTGCCTGGCAAGTGCAAGGGCCTGAGTTCAATCCCGGGTTCCACAGAAAAAAAAAATAAAATAAATAAAATAAAATAAAAGTAATTCTACCTAATGGCCTATCTACCAGTATATGGTGAGCCCAGATTCTCCAGGAGCCCAAAGCTACATCTTATCTGCCTCTACTTTTTAAACTTGCTATCATTGTGGATTAGAAGTAGTTTCTAATGGTTCATCTACTTACACATAATCTCTCCCTGAACTCCTACAACCAGACCCAAGTCTGCCATATAAACCCTGGCACCATCAACAATTCCAACACTAGCCAAGCAGAACACACAGCGATACTATGGGCCTGAAACCTCCCAGAGAACCTGCTTCCTCCCTTTGACCTGTGTTACTGTAACCATCCCCGCAAGGCAAACCCCACCAGCTTCTAGTCTTCCTTCACAGAGACTTCCGGGAAGGGGCGGAGGAAGAGAGAGAAGGGGAAAGTGACTCCCCTGGACCTAGAAAGGATCTAAAGGGAGAACTGAAGCCTGGGGGGTGGAGGGGACAGAGGACTCACTGCATAAAAGGAGCAATTCAAAGCTGCGGACACAGTGACTGAGAACCACCTGAAATCCACCCACCTGGTCTCTGAAATAATAACAACACAGCAAATGGATGAGGCTCTAGAAAAAAATCAAATCAGAAATAATTTCTCAGATAACTTAGTCTTCCTTCAAAAAACAAAATCAACCAGGTGCCCATGCTGATAATCCCAACCCTCAGGAGGCCAAGGCAGGAAGACCACTGCCAAGTTTGAGGTTGGCCTAGGCTACATTGTGAGTTCAACATCAGCCTGGACTACATAGTGAAACCCTATCTCAAAAAAAAGAAGAAAAGAAAGAAAGCAAGAAAAGATAAACACACACACAAAAAAAAACACCACAGTGAAATGTGGCCTCTTGCCCCTGGTTGCTCAGGAATGGCTCTGCTCTTCCTGGGATCTTTCTGAAGTCACTTCTAAGCTTCCTCTATCTTGCTATACACAAGTCTTTATGTGCTGTTATAATTGAATGACTTTTTCCAGTGCTAAGGATCAAAATCCAAGGCTTTGTATAGCTTAGGCCAGCACTCTGCTACACCTGAGCTACCACCCCAGTCCTGCTGAGGGACCTCTGTGCTCTTTCTTGCTAAACTTCTATTCTAAAAAACTCAGGGAAAACCTGTCCTTAAGCCTGAATTTAGTGACCTCCTGACCAATCATGCGGCACACACTTCTGACAGCAGGCAGAAAGCAGCTCAGGAGTGTGGCCCGTAGCACCATTTATCACGGCCACTGCTGCTCATCCAGCCACGTCCCGACAGCGAGGACCAACGTTCCTGCCTTCCGCCCCATGCCCATCGCATTCACGCGGCCCTGCCTCCTTCCAGTTCTGACGGAGAGGTCATCCAGGCGCATGGCTCTGCGTCCTATACCCTTGCCCTAAACACACAGGTGTGTACACATTTTATTTATTTTGAGCAGATCATCCATGAGACCCAAATTACAGTCACAGGGCACATCCGGAATTCTGGTCACTGAAGCTCTTGAAAATCACTACCCAAATACCAGGGATTAGTCTAAGACTTTCCCTCTAGATTAGTGAGATTAGGCTATTTTACCTAAAAATACTTCAAACTAATTCCAGCATTCAAGTTTGATCGATACATTTGTATATTAGAGTGAATTTTTCAATAAAAAAACCTCAGACATTTTTTATAACACTACTATATGTATACATAAATACACATCTTCAAAATTTCCCCTTTAACTTTCTAGGCTAACATGTAAAAGAAATTCCTTTCATTACATATCCTAAAATTGGACTGCTATCATCCAGTTCGGATACAGTAATCCTATAAAAAAAGAATAAGCTTTTCTTTTAGATAGAGTCTCTCTATTGCCCAGGTTGCCCAGGCTGCCTCTAAACTCTTGGGCCCAAATCATCTTTTGGGGGCTGGGGAGATAGCTCAGTAGAATAAGTGCTTGCTTGGCAAGCACAAGGGCCTGAGTTCAATCCCCAGTTTTATCCAAAAAACCCACAAAAAACAATAAGACAAATCATCTTTTTGCCTCAGCTCCAAGTAGCTGGGACTACGGCACTACAGGCGTTGCACCATGCCCAGCTTGTACGTAGCCTCTTTCCATCTCTCCCTCTCTCTGAAGTGCCTAGGACTGAGTGCCATGGGCCTTGCTCATGCGGGGCAAGCACTTTAACCCCACACTATCTGCAGAGCAACAGAAGGAGCTTTTCATAATAAACTCTGCTGAAAAACAAAATGATTCCGGGGCCCTGGCTGGGCCAGGTATGGTAGAAGCAGTGGGTATATGTGTGAGATTATAAGCACAGCCTTTCTGTCACAAAATCCCAGGAGGGAAAAGGAGTGAGGGCTCTGCAAGGGAGGGGCAGGAGGTAATATTATGGCTTGGCCTCTTCCATTCTGGCGGCAGTCAGCACTGGCCATTGGACAGGAGACCACCCAGCCGGCAGGACCTGGTCCCAGCCTCCTAGGGAGGACGCGGCCTTGGCAGTCTCTACAGGGTAACAGTGGAGACAGCAGCCAGCCGCTAAAAAGCTGAATGTTACCTATAAAACTCAAGATAACAAAAAGCTTCTTTGATTTGTAAACTTGCACTCATAAATACAATCTCTCAAAATAGAATTCAGTGCCTTCAAGTCTTTTCACCAGTGATACACAATATCCTTCCCCGTGAATGAATGCTGTGGACAGAATTGTACTACTTAGCCATTTTCCAAAGCGCCGGTAGAGCTGAGCGTAGATACACACAGCCGGTGACTAGTGGCGCCTGTGCGCTAGGAGCGCAGGAGCTTGCTGAGGATCGCGTCGTAGTAGGGGCAGAAGACCATCTTGTTATAGTTGACCAGGCGGACAAATTTCACCGCAAGTTCCTCCAGCTCTCTCTGAACTGGCCCCAACCCCCCAGGCACTGCAGGCAATGGCTTCTGGTGACCCGAGGCTAAGTAGGTTTCCAAGAAGGTCAGGATTCGGGATTCTGTGAAGGAAAAGAACGTGCTTAGTAGGGCTGGGGTGCCAAGCATGTGTAAGCCCTGGCTTCCACTCCCAGTACCACACCCTAACCCACCCACCCCGTGAAAAAGTGTTTAGCTATTCCTCGTTGTAGGTGACTTCATAAACTTCTGGTTGCGCTCCAGTTCTGAGCTCTGCCACCACTCTCTGGGGAGTCCTGCCTGGTACTGCCCCAGTCTGATCCTCAGTGCCTCCTCCTGCACATTCACCAGCTGCACTGCTTCTCCCTGCTTAGTTCTCCGCAGGTGGGAGCAGCGCTTAGGCTGCTCAGCCCGAAGCTTCACAGATCTCATGCAAGCAGCCTGGTGACCTCCACGTCCCAGTGGCACTGTCCCTGTCAGACTGTGTCAAGTTGCCTGCAGGGCTCCTCAGGAACTGCTCCAGTGGCATCTGAACCAGGCCTAGGATTCCAAGCTTGGAACCCTCAGGACAGTGACGCCTATCTGCTCCCTTGCCCGCCCTTGGTCCTTGGAGTGATACATAATATCCTGATCACGGTGTGACCAAGAAACCCACCCTCTCCTCCCCAACAGCCCATCCCTGCATGTCCCCACTCCCCACGCACCCATAATCCTGCGGACCGGGTCATCGTGGCTGCCCACAGCCTGGATCCCGCCCTTGAGCACAGTCTCTCTGTCGGTGGAGAGGGTTGGGGACCCACACAGTGCCAGGCAGCCCCTCAGCTCCACGCACACTTTCTCCCCGATGGTGGTCAGGGCTTCATCCAGGTGGAAGGAGCTGCCGCAGAGACAGAGGGGTCAGGGATAAGGTACAGGCGCACATGGCTGCGCCATCCCCGACCAGAGCCACACCAGCTGATGACCGGCCTCTGCGTCAGGGGGACCCTGAGGCATTCAAAAGCCTTCTCTGAACCAGGTGTGATGGTGCACCCCTATAATCCCAGCACTCTGGGATGCTGAGGTGGAAGGATCGAAAGTGGACGCCAGCCTAGGCAAGTCAGGGACTTAGTGAGACCCTGTAGCAAACAAAAAAGTAAAAAAAAAAAAAAAAGGAGTTGGGGGCATGGTTCAGTGCCAAGGCCCGGGGCCCAGTCCTCAGTAACACACACACTCAGCTTCTAAATGAGTCTTGGTGCAATGCACCCTACCAGGGCCATGTGGACAGCAGTTGGTGACCTGCACACAGGTGCGATCTGCTAGGGATACAGGGGTGCAGTGTGCTTGGCACAGAATGCCTAAGAGGACATGCCAAGGGCGGGAACTGACGCTCCCATCTCCTCTGGAGGGGTAAGCTCATCTCTTCTAGGAACTTGCCTTCAATTGTTCTAGCTGAGGCCATACACCACCCCAGGTGGGTTGCTGATTACCAGGTTTCTCTAGGAATTTATTTTCTGTTCTGTTGTTATAGACAGGGTGTCACTATGTAGTTCAGGATGGTCTTGAACTTACTATGTAGCTTGGGCTAGCAAACTCCTGGGAATCCTCCTGCCTCAGCCTCCTGAGTTCTGGGCCTAAAGGTATGGACCACTAGAACTCTAGGGCTCTGTTTTTCACTACTAGTTGGTTGTAAAAGCAATTCAGAGTCTTTTTTTTTTTTTTTTTTTTAATGGAATAAGAATTGGGTAGAAAAGACCAGAACACAAGGAAATTAGGGAAAGTCCTGCCTTGTGAGGCTTTCATTTCAGGTACACAGGTGTGCGAATGAGGACTACTAGTCACAAGGGAAAGGAGCTTCCGACGTGGGTCCTGAGGATGAGCACCCAAAAGCTACTATCCTAGAGCCCAATGCCCTCCCGCGACTCCGTCACTGCAGTAGCAGCAAGAAGGCGTGCTCTCCTCACAGCACCCACAGTGGTGGGACAATGGGAGCCGCTGTCCCTGCCCACCCATGGGCTCCCATCCGGCCCACACTCACGGCAGGTGCATGTCGGTCAGCAGGACCTTCACAATCGTCTTCAGTCTCTCTGCAAAGTCGGCCCGGCTGCAGACACTAGCACCCGCTGTGCTGAACGTGACCAGCAACACGGCCCCCAGGACGGTCAGCTGCTCCAGCTGCCCCTGGAGCTCCTGGAAGCGCACCTGGTCCATCAGCACAGTCTGCAACGAGAGCAGAGGACATCGCTGTGCTGAGACTCGAGCTGCCAGCAGAGGGCAGCAGAGCCCAGCCCAGCACTATCTCTGTGCACACACAAAATGGGTAACCCCACTTCTCAGGGATCTTTGGAAAAATGGAAAGGTCATGCAAGTGGCAAGGCAGACAGAGCCAGCACTCAATAAATAAAAGTTGCTGGGCCTGACAGCACATGGCTGCAATCCCAGCACTATCAGAGGCTGAGGCAGGAGGATAACAAGTTCAAGCCCAGCTTGGGCAACATAGCAGGATCTTGTCTCAAAATAAAACACAGAAGGACCACAGCTCAGTATAAAGGCCCTGAGTTCAATCCCCAGAACTGCAGAGACAGATGGACAGAGAGATGTTACGATATCAAAGAGGAAAGAAATGAGGTACAAAGCCAAGGTGACCAACTCCAGAAAGCTATCCCTGCTTTCTGATGGAAACCCCCAAGTCCTGTAGAGCACCCTCCTCAGTCCCCAACAAACCACAGGAAGCCATGGGGAGGACAGAGCCTTGCCCTGGCATCCCTCAGCCTGGCATTCGCTGGCAGCCTGCAGGAGGGAGGTGCTTAGGGTCCGGGAAGTGAAAGGACAAGTCATTCGAATAGGCAGGGCTGGCAGCACCCGGCAAGCACCATGGCGGCACTTCCTGCGCTGACACGGCCCTGGTCCGGCCTGGCCTGAGGCCCAAGGGCGGCCCAGGCCACCCATTTCAGACCCAAGTGCTTACAGGTTCCATGCTTGGATTTTAAGGACCCAGTCATTAACCACTTGGGGTAAGAGCTCAAACTTCTACTCAAGATGCAAAACTTCCCCAGTTCCGCAAAAAAAAAAAAAAAAAGATGCAAAACTGAAATTTTACTCTGAAGACAGGTTACACACATCTGCTGGAAGAACTCTGCGCTGGCCGCTTGTATGACCCCCTCTGCTCTATGGCCTCTCAGTGTGCACTTTAGCTGAGGTGGCAGAAGATTTCCAAAGATCAAACCCAATCCACACATCTGACCTAGTGAAAAACACCAGCTGCCCACAGCTGGGGAGGCTAGCACCAAATTAGCTACCTAGACTCAAACTGGGGGAATTCCTCGCTGGTCCTCTCAAGGACTGACTGGTTCGATGTACTTCTTTTTTTTTTTTTTTTTTAATCAGTTTATTTATTTGTGTGTGTGTGTGTGTGTGTGTGTGGCCAGCTCAGCCCACCAGGGGGCGGGGCTGGCTGGCATGTGGTGCTGGGGGATTGAACCATGGTCCCTGTGCTTTGCTAAGCTTGTTCTAAGTAGGTGCTTTAGACCACTGAGCCATCTCACCAGCCCCTTGATGTACTTCTTGAGAAAAACATAAAAAGACAGGAACACAGCTCAGCATGGAAGGAGAAATTTCTTTAGAGAAAGCTGTGAAGCAACATCACCACTGTGGTTTTGATCAAAATGAGTAAAAACAGGGAAAGTACCCAAGAAGCAGAGTGGAAGCATCACGCGTGGCCGGAGGCACTGTAAGGGATGCCGCACTTTGTGAGGTTGGTGGCCCTCTGAAGGGTGAGCACACGGCGACCACATGACCTAGCAATTTCAATCCTAGGTATGGTAGCGTGGGACAAAAACGTTCATACACACAAAATGTTCTACACAAAAGTTCACAAATGCGTACTTCACAGTAGCCCAAAGTAGAAACAACAAAATGTCTAGCAACTGATCCACATAAGGGAAGAAATTATTCAGGAAGGCAATGGTGACATCCACTGCAGCATGGGTGAGCCGCAAGGATATCATGGGAAGTAAAATAATCTGGGCCCAAAAGGACCATCTTGGATGATTCCACAAATATAAAGTACCTACAGTGGTCAAATCTGTGATCTCCAAGTAGAACTGTGGTTGCCAGAGCCACATAATAGGTGTTGTTTCTGTTTGTGTTATTATTTGTTTGTTTGAGAGAGGGTCTCACTATGCAGCCCACGCTGGCCTCAAACTTGAAGTGATCCTCCTGCCTCAGCCTCTCAGGGGCTGGGACTACAGGAGCACAGTAGGGAATAACTGTTGGGTGGTTTCATAATAATGTAAATGAGCTTAATACCATTGTACACTTAAAACAGTTAAAATGGAGCTTTACAGCATGTATATTTTACTATAATAATTACAAGGGAAGATGAAGTCTTTTTTTTTTTTTTTTTTTTCCAGAACCAGGGATCGAACTCAGGCCCTTGTGCTTGCCAGGGAATCACTTATTCCACTGAGCCATCTCCCCAGCCCCAAGATGAAGTCTTGATACACACTCCCACACTGATGGACCTTATGCTGCCTGAAAGAAGCCCGAACCAAAAGGCCCATTTCATTTACATCAGACACTCAGGACAAGAGGGTCTAAGAAGGCAGAAGGCAGGGGCTGTATGGAGCAGAGCAAGTATGATGCCTGATGAAAGGGATGGTATTTCTTTACAGGATAATGAAAATATTCTAAATTAAATAGCGGTAATGGTTGTACAAGTCTACCTATATGCTGAAAACCACTGTGCTGAACACTGTAAGTGGGAATTTGATCTATATCTGAATAATGCTATTCTTTCAGAAAAGCTTGGCACACGAGGCACTGACCTCAGGGAAGGGTCTGTGGAGGTGGTTCCACTTCAGCAGTTTCAGGTAGGCGTGGTTCTGGATGGAAACCGGACTCGGCACCAGGGCGTCCTCGGAGCCAGCAGCCTCTCCCTGGGCCGGCAGGGCATGTTTGTACCTCTGAGCCATAAGGTCAGCAGAGGCTTCTTCTAGCCACTGGGTGACAAAGTCCAAGGAATCTGTAACAGAGCCGCAAGCATTTCTGGGCACCAAGCAGCAGCTTCTCGGATTTGCCTGCGGGAAGACTGCCCTGGCAGTGTAATTTGGTGTAGGGAATGAACTGCACAAACTTCCGGAATCAAATAAACCTTGGTCCCAGTCACAGTACTGCCCCTCGCTAGCTGAGTCATCTCAGGTAAGTCATCAGCTGTCTGAGTACCTGTTTCCTGGTGTAGAGAAATGCACAGGACCCACTCCAGGTCATAGCACACCCCCAGGCCCTGCCACCTGCCGGTGTCCTATAAACCTTCCTTCTCTGTCCCTGCAGCCTGACCCTGCAGGAGAGATGGTCGAAAGTGCCAGTGCCACCCAGAGGCTGATAGGAAGAGGCCCAGTTAGAGCACCTCACGCAGCGCTGCCCTTTCTGTGGTCCTGGTTTAACCAAGGTCCATGTATCTTGGGGGAACTCGTTGCATGAGAAGCAGCCCAGGAGCCCTTAGCTGGCTGTCATCTGCAGGCTCCCAGCTGAGTACTGTAGTAGGTACTCTAATGGACCCACAGGAAGACCATGAGGATCTTACCTGTGTTTTAAGCAAAAACTGCAGCTGCCACGTCCTGCAGGAGTTGCAGCTCAGCTATGGAGGCCTCCTTGAAACCAAGCTGCAGGAGGTCGTGGCTGCTGCCCACCCCTCCCTGTCACGAAGGCTGAACCTTGCTTCTCTGCCAGTACACTAACCCCAAGTCCCCATTCGAGTTGCCAGGCCATCTGCCTCATCAGAAAGCGTTCCCGTAGTCCACCAGCCCTGGAAACCTGAGCTTCCATGTGGTGCACAAGTCCCAGACCCACAGACCAGGGACTGCCCTGTGCTTCGCCTCAGCGGCCATCTGCCCTGCACCCCACTTCTGGGGCCTGCCACTATCCCAAGGCTCCTCTGCCAGCACACTGCAGCCAGGTGCTACCAAGTGTGACGAGAGTGTGCTGTGCTGTCCTCTCTTCTCCACTCTTCTGCTCTGCTCTTTCCTGACTCCTCCTGGCCTCCAGCCCGACTTGTGCCCGGAATGGATGAATCTACTGCGCAGGCGCAGGTATCTCGTGGCCAAGTCCTACAGCGTACCCAGACTGCACCCTGCTGCCCACAATGACTGAGCTACTGAAAACTCATCCCAAACTGGCTCTGAAGACTGAAATTTACCCAGAACATCAGCTACCAATGCAGAGCACCTTAGAAATGTAATAGTTATAGATTCTTTTTTTTTTTTTTTTTTGCAGGCAGCAGGGATTGAACTCAGGCCCTTGGGGTTGCCAGGGAAGCACTTACTCTACTGAGCCATCTCCCTGGCCCCCAATAGTTATAAATTCTATAGTTGTATTTTCCTGCAGTTATCTGAGATTCATAAAAATGAGACTTGTCCTAGGTGTAAAACTAGGCGAGTTTTGCATACAGAACAGAGATAGAGCAGTCACGGGGACACACGCTTGGAATCCCAGTACTCTGGGGAGGCTCAGGCAGGAGGATCATAAGTTTGAGCCCAGCCCGGGCAATTTATTGACTTAGTGAAGGCCCTGGGTTCAATCCCTAATACTCCTGCCCCCAAAAAGAACAGAAGCAAAGTGAAATTTCCTGTTGTCACAGAGAGAACAAAAGTGAATGCACATTCCTAAAATTTGTCATAATTTTAAAACCAAAACCAACAATATCGTTTACCTCACACTAGTGTTTGAATTTACAGCAATCAAACAAATGTCCATTTTGGGCCATGTTCCCTTTTCATCCCCGCTCACATGTTCTGTCCACCTTGCTCTTGTTGCTTAAATGTGTTTCTCAGTGATTAACCATCGAGGCAGAGCCCTACGGCTTGTTGTGGGTCCTTGTGTAAACTAGACTGTTCTCATCCATAATTCTAGTTTCCTTTCGAAAAAGCATCACTGCCTTCCGCCACAGCAACCATTGAAAAAGAGTAGCCATGGCCCTCCGCTATCCCATGGCCGTGGGCCTCAACAAGGGCCACAAGGTAACTAAGAATGTGAGCAAACTGAGGCACAGCCGCCGCCGCGGACGTCTCACCAAACACACCAAGTTCATGCGGGACATGATCCGGGAAGTGTGCGGCTTTGCCCCCTATGAGCGGCGCGCCATGGAGCTGCTCAAGGTCTCCAAGGACAAGCACACCCTCAAGTTCATCAAGAAAAGGGTGGGGACGCACATCCGCGCCAAGAGGAAGCATGAGGAGCTGAGCAACGTGCTGGCCACCATGAGGAAGGCAGCTGCCAAGAAGGACTAAGCCCCTCCGGAATAAAGCTTTGCAGAAAAAAAAAAAAAAAGAAAAAGCATCACTGCACAACAGACAATAGCAACCAAAACAAAACAAAGCAAAACAGCAAATGAAACACCAGCAACACAGAGCCCACAGAGCATGAAACATACTCGGCTGCCTCTCCAGCAGTCGTTGAAACTTCTCCCTCTCATACTCAACCGACTGCTGCATGAGGTGTGGTCTGACGCTGCTGATGGCGAAGTTGGCCATGTCCACCTTCATGAGGTCCAGCACAGCAAACATTGCCCTGCAAGAGAAGGAGGCCCTCAGCACAAGGCACACGGAGCGTACGTGACAGGCAAAGAGGGGAGCTTTTCCTCTTGGGAGGGTCAGGAAGAAAAGTCAGGGGCCGGTGAGATAGCACAGCGTACTAAAGCACCTGTTTAGGCAAACTTAGGCTATCACAGGGACTGTGGTTTGATTCCAGGTACCACATGCTGTGCCAGCCCTGCCCCAGGGCAGGCTGAGCAGGCCAGGGTCCAGATGAGGTGGGGTACGCCTGTAATCCCAGCACTGGGGAGACTGAAAGCAGGAGGATCACTGCGAGTGCAGGCTGCGTAGAGACCCTGCAACAACCAAATACAGAAAGAAAGAGAGAGAAGAGAAGCAAAGCGAAGAGAAAGGAAGGTAGGTAGGTAGGTCTGGAAAGTCAAGAGAAAGTAGATGAGGAAAAAACATTTAGAAAACACAGACATGAATGCAATGATCTGAAAAGGTCGTGGGTTTCAGTGTGTCCTGTCCCCACCTTCTCCTTGCCCAGGTCCCTGGAGGCTCCCCAGCCTCCAGCCCCATGGGAATAGCAGCAAGGTGGGGCAAAGAGGAAGGACAGAGCCATGGGCAAGGTGAGGGGCAGGCAGCTTGCCACCCTGGTCTTTGCTTTCATGTGTGCACTTTTCTTGAAAAATCAAAGGATTAGACAATCTGGGCCCACTTCCTGTCACAGCCCAAATCAGCTGGAACTGAGACTGCGAGCATCCTTAGACGGCATCGGCTGCCCAGGCCTTCTGCTGCCCAGACTTCCTGTGTGTGTGTGTGTGCTGTACGGGGCTGCACCCGGAGCACTGCATGTGCCAGGAAAGTGCTCTACCACACAGCTAAGCCCCCAGCCCTTTCTATTCTCAGTTTTGCTACATGGTCCAAACCGACTGAAACTCATAATCTCCTGCTTCAGCCTCCTAAACACTGGGATTACGGGTATTTGCCCCAGGCCTGGTGCAGTCCATTTACTTTTCCATTGGAGTTGCTACAAGGTAATTCCCCAAAAGTCTTTTCCAAGGAATTTCCCACTAACCTTGGCTAGATTGTAAACTCCTGTTATTTTACAACTAATGTCCAACACCATGTCTACCACATAAAAGGGCTCAATACAAACGTGCTAAATGAATGAAAATAACATCAGAACTATTTTTAGGAGGTCTTTTCAATTCTTTCTAAACTTTGAAGTAACCTGTGTTTTTTTTTTTTGTTGTTGTTTTTTTTTTTTTTAGGGACTGAGGGTACAACACATGGCCTTTGCCCTGAGCTACAACCCCCAGTCCTTTTGGTGATTTTATAGTTTTGAGACAGGGTCTCACTAAGTTGGAAACCAGCTGGGCTATGACTTTCTCTCCTCCTACCTCAGCCTCCTAGAGTGCTTGGATTATAGATGTTCACCACCTCACCCAGCAAGAGCATGTTGTTACATATTGTAGAAATGAAAGAGAATGTGCTATCTGTTCTCTTTTACAGTATCAAGGAAGCTGGAAATAAAAATTCTTTTTTTTTTTTGCATAACCAGGGATTGAAACAGGCCCTTGCACTTACCAGGGAAGCGCTTATTCCACTGAGCCATCTCCCCGGCCCCTAAAAATTCTTTTCTAATAAAATTTTTGGGAAGCAATTTAGTAGCAATATGCAATGAAGTCCTAAGACTGCTTAGACCCTAACACTGCAATCCCATTTCAAGAATCAATGTTAATCACACGTGCTGGTGGACATATCTAAGTGTAACACTATAGGAGGCTGAGGCAGAAAGATCACGTAAGCCTAGCCTAGGCAACTTAGCACTTAGAGAGACCCTGTCTCAAAGTGAAAAATGAAAAAAGGCTGGGACGCAGCGCAGCATGAAGGCCCAGGGCTGAATCCCAGTACCACACACATACAAGATCAGGTTCCATGGGGGCAATTTATCAAGACCCTCTCTCTAAATAAATAAACAGGATTGGATATAGCTTAGTGGTAGGGTGCTCCTGGGTTCTACCCCCAACACCAGAAATGAAAAATAAAAATAAATCAATCTTTAGGAAATAACCTAAATTACAGAAAAAAATTTTGTGCCCGAAATATCACTGCACAATTGAGTAGCTGATGAGGATACACAATCTAATTTGTCTCTTCTAAGGAAGAAAATTAATTCTGTCTATGCAAATAAGTATTTTGCAGCCAGTGGAAATGGTTGTGGATAGTTTAATAAAAACATATAAACTGGGCATGGTGCTGCTGCAGCACTCAGGGAGGGGGCTGAAGCAGGAGGTCTGCTGTAAGTTCAAGGCCAGCCTGGGCCTCAAAGCGAAACCCTGTTTTAAAAAAAAAAAAATCACAGAAGTTGATTATGAAGGACAATGTGAGAGATTCTTGTGTTGCTGGAACTGTTCAGTATCTTGAATGTAGTAAGGGATGCCATGAACCTACACAGATAAAATTGAGTGAAAGTTCATAAAAAAATACATATAGAAATAAGAATAACTAAAACAGCAAATTAACGTCACCCAGCAGACTACCAACATCAATATCCTGCTTGTGATACTGTGCTGCAGCTCTGCAAAATGTTATCACCATGGGAAACTATGTAGTGTCTGTATTTCTTACAGATTCATGTCAGTGTATTATTAAATAAATAAGGATTCCAATAAAAAATTAATTACATGATTAGAATAGAAAAAGTCAAACCTGCACTGTCTCACTAGGGAGGGTCCTGTGGCTTGGCCGCACCTGCAGACTCCTGAGCTGTGGAGGCCATGTGTGTGGCAACGTGTGTCACAGCCTGCCCGCAGTGGCACCGAGTATCCTCTGTGCAACAGCGACTGTGACAGCCAGGAGCAGACTGCCCAGATGTGGGGACAGCCATGTCCACATGCAATCACCCAGCTTAAAAGCCTCAGGACCCAATGAAGCCAGTATATCTGAAAACTACTCTACAAGCCAGGTATGGTGGTGCATTCCTGTAATCCCAGCACTGGGGAGGCTGAGGATCGCTGCAAGTTCAAGATCAGCCTGGGCTACAGAGTGAGCTCAAGGCGAGTCTCAGTTGCACAATGAGATGGTCTCAAAAAGACAAAAAAAAAAAAAAAAGAAAAAGAAAACTATTCTACAGCATGGCTTTGAGCTCCTGAGGGGCATGCCCAGTCATAAGAGTCACCCCTTACTTACAGTACCATTGTCACTCCTCTTAGTCCAGATGCCATCTAGGACTCAGAGGTCACTTCCCTTATGCACACTGTGGCCTAGGATCATTTTGATAGATAATACCTTATCTGTTTACAGGAAAATCAAGCAGTTATCCAAAAACCAATGTTTCTCGCTGGGCACAGTGGTGCAGTTGGAGGCTGATACACGAGGGCTGCCATGAGTTCCAAGCCAGTTTGGACTACACAGTGAGCTCAAGGCCAGCCTAAAGTACATAGTGAGACTATGTCTTAAAAAAATGGGGCCGGGGAGATAGCTTAGTAGAATAAGCACTTGCCTGACAAGCACAAGGGCCTGAGTTCAATACCCGGTTCCACAAAAAAAAAAAAAATTCAAATCCTCAAGTAGCATCATATCACTCCTTTACCTATAGTAGAACTAGACTGGGCATAGTGGCGCACGACCGTAATCCCAGCTCTTGGGAGGGTGTAAACAGGTAGATCACTATGAGTCCGATCTAGTAGTGAGACCCTGAACACCGTACAGACTCTTCCCTAAAATACAATACAACAACAACAAAAAAAAACTGTCCTCAAAAATTACAGGAACTAGGGCCGGGGAGATGGCTCAGTGGAATAAGTGCTTCCCTGGCAAGCTCAAGCGCCTGAGTTCAATCCTTGGTTCCGCAAAAAAAAAAAAAAAAAAAAAAAATTACAGGAACTTTTGTCACAATTATGTATCTAAACTTAAATATTCACTGGGTGGGTGGCATGTGCCTGTAATCCCAGCATTCGGGAAGCTGAGCCAGAAGGATCCCTGCCAGTTCAAGGCCAGCCTGGGCTACACAGTAAGACCCTGTCTCAAAAATTACATACAAAAAAAAAAAAAAAAAAATTACATACATACATATACACATACATTAAAAAAAAATAAATGTTCAGGGAACTAGAGGCATAACTCAGGGGTAGAGTACGTGCCTAACATGGACAAGGCCCTGGGTTCAATTCCTGGTACCACCAAAAACGAAGTTAATATGTACAGGACTCTGGTCTGATTCAGACCTTATTGTAGTCCAGAGGAGTTTATAAATTGTAATCCCAGGAAGAAGTTATTGGAATTCTCCCCAGTAAATTTCCATCTACCACTTTCAATGCAACACATGGTGAGAATAAAGAGACAAAAACATATCTGCAGCTGTGGGGAGCCTTCAAAGGGGTCCTAAATCCAGCTGAAACAAAGCCTAGCTGGAACAAGGCCTGGACCTAGGGCTGAACCTGGGTTTTATTAATTCGTGAGGAGGGAAGTGGCTTGGGTTGAGTAACTATGAGAATGGCAGGAAGTACGTGAGTGCAGGGAGCTGGGCTGGGCAGGAGGCCTGAAATCACGTCTGCAATATGCAGACAGGTTTGCAGAAAGAGTACCAGGTCTTGATATCGGGTAGCCTCCAAGTTTGGAAGAATCTGACCTAACACAGTTTGCGCAAGTGTCCAGTGTTTTGGCTGCTTCAGCCTTTACTCTCTAGGACATAACTGCATTTTTCTCAAAGCTCAATCCCAGCCAACAGTGCAGTGTCTCTCACCTAGCTCACGCTTAGTACAGGGCGCTCTAGGAAGGCATCCCTGACCTGTTGCTTTGCTTCAAAGGCTACACATGGCGCCTCAGCTGGATCCACTTGTATTGCTTTAAGTCAGTGGAGGGGATAGGGCATTTCCTTAGGCAGCTGCATAAGCATCACTACATGGAATTAGGACAAAGGTGAACCAAAATGGAGGCAAACTGGTTTTTGTAGGGGGAGTCATCCTGGTGGTCCTCCACAAAGATGGTGTACACATTAAGACATATGTTATGAATAAAAGAATGTACATTCTTAGGAGGTAGTTCTTGAAATATTTAAGGGTAGAATGTCACAAAGTGTCATTAACCCTCAGGAGATTGGGGGAAGGCACAGTCACAAGAACATATCTATGAAGCTAAGGCAACTGTGACCTGTGACAAAATGGGCAAACACTGATGGATCTATGTGAAGGGCTGCTGAGTGCTGAGGGTACTGTTTCTGCAACTTTCCTGCAGGCTTGGAGGGAAGCACATATAAAATATAGGTAGCAGTCAAGCTTGATATACACATCTGTAATTCCAGCTACTCAGAAGGTTGAAGCAGGAGGATTGCAAGTTCAAGGCTAGCCTGGGCAACTTAGTGAGATCGTGTCTCAAAATAAAGCACAAGGCTCGGGATATGTGCAATTTGTATACAGATGCATGAAGCCCTGGGTCCAATTTTCAGTACCACACACACACACACACACACACATATATATATAAAATGTAATACTATTTAAAATATGCATAATGAAAATAGTGATTATGGCTTATCTATAGTAAAATTACGGATGATTTCTTCCTTCTGCCTAATTTTCAGTATTTTAAATGTCTGCTTAAATTTTTAAATACCCGAGCACCTAGACTTTAGGAGGTTTAAACTGAAATCAGGTTCTGCATTTAGGTATGTGAGTTCAATCAACACACTTCCATACCTGAAAAGGGGTACTATTTCCTTAATGTCCTTTAGTTTCTTAACTTCCTCATCCCGAGCAGGTGCACAGAGTGTCCCCATCATGCCAATAATAAATTCTGCCAGCTTAGAAATGTCTAGGGCTCCATTCTCTGCTTCCTGCTTTATCAGCTCCAGATCCAAGACTTCTGTTATCTGGTTTCTCAGTCTAGTGTGACCAGGCAGCAAGAAAGATAAAAGTGTCTACAAGAGAACACAGATAAGTTTAATCACAGTTTCTTAGACACTGTTCTGGCTAATGCATGAAGAATGTATAACTATCCAAATAAACCCTTAACCAACTGCCACTGAACTGCTGTACATACTCTAACCTCTTATTCAACACATCTACAGAGAAACACTCTTGCAAGTTCAATGAGAATAGCTGTTGATGTTTCCATTACACTCTAGGTGCCAATCACCTACATACAACAAACACATTGATGGTGGGAAAAGGAGAACACGTTTATTATGCGAACCTATGAGGCAACTGTCAGTTCCGATTTCCACAGGTCCACTGCTTCCTCAAGACTATGGCTGCCAGGCAGGTGGTGCTACCTGTAATCCCAGCACTCGGCAGGCTGAGGCACAAGGGCTGAGTTCAAGGCCAGCTGGGCTACATAAATGAGTTGAAGGCCACCCTGTCCTACATAGTGAGACCCTGCCTCAAAAGCAACAACAACAAAACATTATGGCTAAAAGCATTGCAAAAGATGTCCTAACACCTAAATCATCCCAAAGACTAAATCACTTTTTGACCAATATAAATTAAAGATATCCATGCCTATTAAAACTTATAAGTAACCTGTTTTTTAAAATAATTTTTGTTTTTAAGCTGAAAATAATTCATATGTCTGCAAGTAATTTAGCTTCTTGATCCTTCCATTTCTTTAACGTCTTTTGGAACAATAACACATATGGCCAGATAAATACTCCTCAGTAAAACAAAGAAACAAAATACTCCTAAGTACCGCAATTCATTCAGCTCACCTCTTTGATCTCTCCCACAAGTTTGATGGCATGGTCGTATGTTGGGGGGTCTTCACTTAGCTGGACACTCAGGCAATCCCAGAAAGCTTTATGTACAATCTCCTTTACTCTCTTCTCCAAGCTAGAGAAAAGGGGGTGTGGGGACTGAAAATCTCAAATCAAATTTTAAAATCACATGGGTTAGAGTAATAAATCTTTAAAAAGTAAGAATTATGAAAGATTCCCCACACATACTTAAACTAACACACTTTTTATTTTATTTATTGTTTCAATAAGTGCCTTATTAGAAAGTAACCTGCAACACTGAATCCAATTAGTAGCATGTGACAATGGCATGTGATGAAAAGACTATTGGAAAATTCAAGGCTGTTAAATCTTACTTCCCTGTTGTGAGCAGGCTTACTAAAATACATAATTAGGTAGTTTAATAATTCAGCATGTAACAGGCAGACAACTTTAGTTTCTAAACATACTTATTCCTGTGTGACATACCGGGCCAACTGCTTAACTAGGTAGCAAACTGTAACAACGTACAGTGTCTCACTAAGACCAGCTTTCCTGCCCTAAGAACAAGCACTTCCTGCCTTTTTTGGTGGTGGTACTAGGGCCTGAAGCCAGGGCCTGCTAAGCATGTGCTCTACTAAGCACACAGCTTGCACCTGAGCCACACCCCCAGCACAAGGTACTCGCCTTGCAGATATATAAGAAATATATATAAAACCATGTTTGCTGGGCAGAGTGACATACCTGTAATCCTACCACTTGGGAGGCTGAGGCAGGAGGATCACTGCGAATTTGAGGCCAGCCTCAACTGCATAGTGAGTTCAGGGTGAGCTTGACCTAGTGAGATTCTGTCTCAAAAAAAAAACAAAAAAAAAACAAACAAAAAAAAAAAAAAAAAAAAACACCCTAACAGGCATTTCTCCTTCAACAGAATGCCAGTGTTTCACACTGGAGCAACAGATGTCTATAAAAATTAATCCTAACTGGCCCAATGAGCCTATCATGGCAATTCCGTTCCCCATAGCATAGGAACAAATGAATTAACAAAACATTAAAGTCTGCTTCATTACTCCAGAGAAAGATGCTTCTCCCTAACGAAGGACAGCTCTGTTCCACCTGACATCTTCCCTCTGTGTAGAACGCGAGTGCACAGTGCCACCTGGGAGCTGTGGCACTCTTCTGCAGCCATGAGGAACAAGTCAAGAGGACATTAGAGACCAATCCTGAGGCCCAATCTGAGTGAACTGCAGAAATAAGGGCAGCTACATCCATAGTTCCTTGATTCCAAAACATTTTTTTCCACATTTTAACATCTTTAAAAATATTTCTTAAAATCCATGGCACTTTTACAGTGACACAAAGTATATTTAAATACATTTTTAGAGCCGGGGAGATGGCTCAGTAGAATAAGCGCTTCCCTGGCAAGCGCAAGAGCCTGAGTTCAATCCCTGGTTCCACCAAAAAAACAAAAACCAAACAAAAAAAATACATTTTTAAAGCCATATCTTATAATCAGTAGGGTTTTTCATTTCATTTTAAAGTGGCAAGTGCCCGTCACTAGGGATATTATGGATAAATCCACCTTTGCATCCACGTGTTCTAGTGAGGAATGGGAGTCAACCAGGGGCTGCAGGACTCCCATTCACAAAGACACCAAAGCACGTGCAACAAAGATGCAACATGGGGTAGTGAAATCCTAGCAAGTAGGAGAAGCTCACATTAAAGATTTTCCAGATTTCCAGACACTTTATTGGCATTCTGGAGGATCCATGCCCTTGAGATCCACTTTCAAATTCTAGTAATCCCTAGCATAGGAATTTCTTTTTTTTGCGGAACTAAGGATTGAACTCAGGCCTTTGCGCTTGCCAGGGAAGCACTTATTCCACCGAGCCATCTCCCCGGCTAGCATGGGAATTTCTTAGAAATAACATACAAAAGGAAAAATGCACCTGGTTGGCATCAACTCAACCATTTCCAGCACCTGGAAATGCCAGTGTTCTACTAAACAAGACAACTCACTGAGCAGCGCACCTGTCCTCTGGCAATTCCACGGGTCGAATCCGGAAGTCTCCATTCACCACGATTTCATGGGCTAGCGCCATGTTGGTGACTCCTTTCGCTGTCTCCAGAAGTTCTTCTACTGTCACGAACCGAGGTGGACTGGCTGCGAGGAAAGCCCAGGGTAAGTGCTCGCTGCTTCAGGTCGGAATTTCCGTGAGAACAGGGAGAAGGCACTGGCTCTGGTACCAGGCCATAACTGCTCATTGTTCCAGTAAAATGTTTGCAAAAAGCAAAAGAATTTTATCTTTTTTACTTTTGTTTTTACCCTAGAATGCTAGAAGCAGGGATCATTCGTAGTACTCAAAATATCTGGGTTTTACTACAATAAAAGATGACTATGTTATGTGGTCAGTGAAAACTGATTATAAGCTGGAACTCAAAATCTTAAGTTATAGATGCCCGTTACCCCAAAAAGCTTAGGGTTTATCTTCTAATACTTCTGCTTCCTGTCTATCCCCAAAAGAAAAAAAGGAGACACCAGATTTAACATCTTCTTTTTTGCTTCTAGTAGAGGTTTACTTTTGTACTACCACTAACAATGGCATGAATGCATCTCACCAAATTAAAACAGCAATGTAAATAAATAAATAGAACAGCAATTAAGTCTGAGGACATCAGGTACTATTTAAATACTTTTTTCTTAAAATTAATTTTATTGGAACATTCCAGATATACACATAAACATCATGACAATATTTGTCATAGGGAATTTATGACCGTACATAATAGACCTTAATTATTTCTTCTCATTCCTCTCCCATCCCATCTACCTCTCTTCCTCTCCTTATTCACAAGAGCTTTGTGTCCATTTTTCTTCTATTCCCTATTTCCCCCTTTATTTAAATAATCTTAACCCCATACCCTGAACAGGACACTAAGATTGGATGGAAGTACTAAGCTCACCCCAGTGAACAGAGCAGAAGGCAGGTAACGCAAGCACTTTGTACCACAAAGGCCTGCTGAACAAAGCCTGAGTCGTCTTGATGTCTCACTTGCCTGCTGCCCTGCTATCTAAATTCTGTACATTTTATTTCTCTAGCAAAGGTTCAGTAGTCTCACAACTGGTCTATTTTTCTCTTTTAAATTTTTTTTTAATTATTTATCTATTTTCAGTACCGAGAATCAAACTCAGGGCCCTTGTACTGGGCTATGTCCCCAAACATCTTTTTTTTTTTTTTTTTTTTT